GATCTAGGGTTATCTCTAACACTTCGTCATCTTCTGAAGGTAGTAGGTGGAACAACAACGATAAGAAGTCGTTTACACCTAACCCTAATTTTCAGAAAAAGACTATGTCATGACTTCAATAATAAAAAATTTTATTCATAAACTTGTGAGATCTCTCCTTGTTTGTCTTATTCTTGTGAGAATAGGTGTGTTGCACAGCTTTTTCAAGTTGGAGCTTTGTTTTAGCGTGCCTTTGAACCTAAAAAGTTTGTTCTTAGGTGGAGCTAGTAGTTAACCGTTTTATTGGAGTCTTAGTCCACTTGTTCTGGTCATGATCATAAGGCTAGGGTTAGTTAAGAGGTGACCGCTAGGGTTGTTAACCCCAAACTTTTCATCCTTTCTATCCTTTTTCTTTTCGTGTGTTCCATCCTTGGATCACATAAATTCCTTTATTTTAATTCGTGATTTTGAGATTAAGGTTGCAAGATCATCAAGTCCTGGACACATATTTAAGCTTCCACGTATTCGGGTAAGAAATCCATATTACTTTATTGTGTTTGGTCACTGAACTATTGTAAAGTATTGCGTTTGGTCATTACACTATTGTAAAGGCTTCATTTTGGTCACATAACTATTTTAATTTCATAAATCATCACTACACTGTAATACTTTCCAAATCAAAAACTAAACTATATATTTTAAATCTCCTCCAAATCCAAATCAAAAACTAAAACAATACGGCATTGTTTGTTTGTCGTTTCATTTTACTTTTTGTCTCATTTTACCTCTTAAACACAAATCTCAATACACTATCCAAACATCAATTTAATTTACCTTTTAAAGTATTGTAAAGTTTAGTACCGATGGTCACTAAACTATTTTAAAGTTTTAAGTTTGAGTCACTAAACTATTGTAAAATTTAATGGCGGTAGTCGCTAAACTATTGTAAAGTTTGAAGTTTGGTCATTAACCTATTTTAAAGTTTTAAGTCTGGTCACTATACTATCCCACTTTCAAAAAATGGTCACTATACTATAATACTATCCAAAAATTGTCACTAAATTATATTTTAAATCTCCTCCCAAAACCAAATGAAAAAACTAAAACAAAACATTGTCCAAACATCAACTACGTTGTCCAAACACCACCTAAATTGTATGAACCATGTTCACCAAACAGAAACCTGTATTAAGAAAAAAAAAATTAAACCAACAGAACAGAAAAAGATAAGGGCAAAAAGCCATGTACCTCAAACAACCTCTTTTTTTCTTTTTTCCATTGGTTTAACGTCTTAACCGTTACTTATTAAACTTGCAATATGCAATTACAATATACCAAATGGTAAGCCCTTTCTACAAGAGAAAACAACATCAAAGCAGCAAGAATAAAATAAAAAATGTTATGCCATTATGAGACTACCAACTCTAATGAAAAGAAGGGGAAAAAATCAATTACTAACTAGAATACAAATTCGAACCGATTCGAATCCAACAATTCCATAATTAAAAATTATTAAAACCCTAAAATCAATGGCAAAAACGACCATATTATTCACACTACTCAATCCCTTAAACCCATAAAACAGTCAACACCACTGTATAAGTCATGAAAAAGATCAAAAAAATTTTGAAAATCAAAGAACAGGTCACTGACCTACAGAGAGACTAGCAAACAATGGAATAACGAAATAATCCAAGGAACTACTCTAAATAATTTAAATTAAAAGAGACTTAATCTACAGCCAGAAGTGTCTTTAAAAACAATTTCCTGAAACAACAATTCAGTAAAAATCTTATTAATGGCCCAAAAACTTACTTTTCAGACCAAACGGAGAAACAACATCAATAAATCGCTCGTGAAATTCATTAGTACAGCGAAGCCTCTGATTAGAAGCCGGATTGGCTGCGTTGTTATTTCCCAGCCATGTACTTTTTCCAAAATTTGAATCAAACACAAAAAAAAAGTAAGAGATTTCTAAGAAGAATTTTAAAAAAAAAAACAAAAAAACCCTTTAAGGAGCTTAATGACAAGCTTCTTTTGCGGTGAGAATGAGTAGCCTTTTTCGGACCCCAAAGTAACAGTACCGGAGGCGTGTGACTTCCCAGGACGACATCACTGGGATCTTCCTCTTCTAGATCGATCATTGAACCAATTCCCAGGTTCGGTGAGGGGCGGGTGACCATGAGATGTGAATTCCCCAGCAAAAAAGATGAGCTGAAGTGATACCAATCTCGAGGCAAGATGATAGAATTACCTCACACGCGGAAGCTTTTTCTTATCCAAGACTTGATAACTTACAAATCCATGGGAAAATACCCCAAACACATGAGAAAAGGAGAAAAGAAGATGAAACCACAAAACTTTGCACAAAAAAGGATGGAAAGGCAAGAAGATGAAAGAATGTTGTTATGGCTAGCAACCCGATTAGAATACCCCTCCAACAACCACACTCCTTCAATTTATGGGTAGAATGGCTAGCTAAAAGGCTCCAATGAACATCTAACAAAGCTCCACACGTGAATAAACACTTAACACATGCCTACACTTGCAACAAAGCACAAAACAATTTGTGCAATGCACTATTCTTCATAAAGAATAGAAGAACAAAGAGTTTCCTCTCTTTTCGTATTAAAAAATCAATTATCATTGAAGACATATATTTTTGGTTGACCAGCCCCCTTTATATAGGCATAGGTTGGTTTGGACAAAAACAAATCCGAATACTAGTTTAAATCGGATTTGACTACCTAAAATTTCCTCATATAACTTAAATACTATTTAAATAAATAATTACACATGTCACAATTATTTAAAACATTCTAGTAGCTTCTAGAATGCTTGGAGAGTCGGCCATAATTGTAAAATTATGGAAAAATCATTTTCCTAATTGAAATAGGAAAGTTGACAAAATTTATGCCGCGCGCTGTTGACCTTCTCGTCGACCAACAGTCTGCTCGACTCACTCCTGTCGACTTTGTTGTCGACCAACAACCTACTCGATGTCATGTTGTCAGCTGTGTTGTCGACTTCTTCACCTCGACCGAGAGATCGACGTACACTAAAAGTTTTAATTCCACTACAAGATAAATATGAAACCCATGAAATTGAATCCATATTAAGAACTTGAACATCCATGAACAAGTAATTGAGTGATTCATTCATTTTCTTCCTTCGAGACCTCGTCATAGGACCTCCAATACTGGCTAATGGATCTTGAATCACCCTTGAGCTTGAACTGAATTGTGTGGTTGAACATTGACTTGTCCTTGAGCTTGATTACCTAGGATGTCCACATCAAGAGGTGGAATTGAATGAAAGGGTCGCAATGAAGGAGAACAATAGCCGGCTTCATTATTCTTGCCCCTATATACAAAGGGGAACGTAAGGGGGTCACACGACGTCCTTTTGATGTTCAAGTTTAAGACATAAAAACGACGTTGTTCTGATGTTCAAGTTCTTAACATTGTGCGGCGATTTTTGAAAATATTTTATTTATGTAATGACAATTTTAACCCCTTTTAAAAAAGCCGATGTCATCGGGTGTTTTTGAGCCAATTAAAATATTGGAATATAATTGGAAATGGTTCTTTTATAAGTATAGAGATAAAAAGGGATGAAGCATATAACATATCATATGGCAATGTCAAACAACATTTTAAGTTCTTGTCCTACAGTTAGAAAAGACGGCGGTTGTACCAAAAACTTTAGCCTCATCCTTAATTCTACCTTATTGATTTTTAGTTAGTATTTTTTCTGATTGAGAAAATAACCTTAACACTACATTTTCACATTCATTATGTTCGCCTAATTATTAGGACATATTTTTAAGATTTTTTTTAATTGAAAAAAGTATACAAGGTGAAACATAGGACAAATCGAAATTCCTTACCGAAGGGAATATGAAAATTAGACAATCATCTGAAACATGAAAAAAGTGCTAATTTAACTAGTCCACATCGATGAATTTCTATAAATTTGTTTAACACTATTTTTATTCTTTTTTAGTAATTATTGTTGTTGATTTACCGATGATTAAACTATATAAGTAATAATTGAATTTTGATGACAAAGATAAATATGTGTATTCTTTAATATATTTTTTAAATATTTTTTAAACCTTGAAATTGAAATACAAAAGGTAAATTGTTTCTTAAAATTTAGTAATTATACTAGTTCAATCAATATATACCAACATATACAAGGAGTATAAGAAGAAAATCTTTAAAAAAAAATTAAAAAGTTTAACAATATAAAATGATGAAATTACCCAAGGACCCAACTCACATGTTTTGCACGTGAAAAATAGGGTTTGAAAATAAATAATTATTTTTTTAAAGATCATATAATATATTTTGATGGTTATGAAAAGTACTAAAGAGAAATAAAATAATATAGGAAAAAATCAACAAAAAGTGAAAAGGGGTTATTTTGTTATTTTGACATACTTTCATATTTATATTTTTTTTAAACTATAGGGGTGTTTTTGTTAAAAAAAACTGACAGAAATCCGTTCAATTTAATAGAAATTGGGCCAATTAGACAAAATTAACAAAAATTTCAAACATAAAGGAAAAAAATAGCATTCATCACGTTGAGATAACCAACTTCTTAAAAAAGCAAATTTGATACATTGGATGTTCTTCTCTATAATCATCAATAATGAATTTTTTCAAAATAATAATAATCAACACGTGTGTACCCAATATCAAACTAAGTACAACGGATTATTTATAGGGTACTTCGCACATAGCGCGAGGAATACTAAAGCATTGGTAAAGATCCTACATGTGTACTCGATATCAAACTAAGTACAACAGATTATATATATGGTAAAGATCCTACATGTGTACTCGATATCAAACTAAGTACAATAGATTATATATATGGTACGTCGCACATAGCGCGAGGAATACTAAAGCATTGGTAAAGATCCTAATGTATATAGAAGAAAAAAAATTTAAAATAAGACTAAAATGTCCAAATGGTCCTTTATATTTGGGTCGACTTGAATTTATGTCCCTAACATTAATATTTATAGATAGTAGTCCCAAAAATTATATTGCTACACTTTTTTAGTCCCATTTCACTTTCTGGTAACTTTTCCGTCCAACTGAATGTTGACCGCTCGTTGACATGCCGCCAGTAGAGGTAGTTTTGTCTTTTTATTTAAATTTGAATTTCTATTGAAATTAAAATTATTAAAACGTTATAAAATTCAATTTCTATTATTTAATTCTTACAATATTATTTATTAAATTCTTTTTCTATTTGCCATTTATAATTTACCATTGAGACAAAATAAATATTAATTACCTTTCACTTTTAACTCCGGGGCCCACAGTTACTTTCAAACTGTACCGCACTACAGTAACAAATTTAAAATTCAAATATAAAAAAAAAACAAAGGAAAAAACAAAACAAAATTTTATCCAAATTTACACCCCTAATTTTTTTAACTCGGGGCCGCTGAAAATCTGATTGACGGCTACCCCATTGCCCTTATCGTCTTCCCCAATTTGGCGTAGGAAAAACGCAATTGAACCTCCAAAGAAACCCAAATCGGCCGATTGGCCAATTAGGAAGAAGAGAAATTTTGATAATGCCAAGGAGGATGCTATTTTGGGACTTTTGAAGGGAGGAAAAGGGCGGAGGAGGATGGGGATTTTGAGTTTATTGCTAATTTTGAGGGCGTAGGAGATATTGATAAGTGAGCTGAGATGTTTATGGCTAATTTTTATAAGCAGCTTAAGATGGAAAGGCAGATTTCTTTAAAGTTAAGATATGGCAGAGGATATAACTCCTATTTGCCGTCTGCGTAAATATGAAGAATAAATTGAAGAAATTTTGATCCAAGCAATGCTCTGCTGCCGAAAACAGGGAAATTATTTATTGTTTATTTGTTCATCAATTTTGTATATATATTTTTTGGTTGATTTGAGGATGGATGTGGGCTATTCGGATTCTGTTGGATTTTAGAGTGGGAACTTGGAAGAGTTTAAGCTTGTTCATTGCTGGAGATGTCAGAAATGACGAGGCCGTGTTAATGGATTTGTTGAATGTTTTTAATGCGAAGAGAATACTTGAAAGTTAATTTGTTAAATGAAGAACAAATTAAGTTTTTCGTTCCAATATGCAGACTTTTTGGTATTGATTTTCAGTGCTGTTCATTCGTCATTGGAGTTTTGTCGGACATTTCCGAAGGAAGAAGTCTTTTTCCTACGACGAATTGGGGAAGAAGATAAGGGCGGTAAATGGCGAATAGAAAAAGGATTTAATAATTAATATTGTAACAATTAAATAATAGAAATTGAATTTTATAATATTTGAATAATTTTAATTTTAATGGAAATTCAAATTTAAATAAAAGACAAACTACCCCTGCTGGCGGCATATCAACGACCGGTCAACATCCAGTTAGACGGAAAAGTTGCCGAAACAGTAAAATGAGACTAAAAAAGTGTAGCAATATAATGTTTGGAAGTACTATCTACAAATGTTAATGTTAATATGGACAAAAATTGAAGTCGACCCAAATGTAAAGGATTATTTGGACATTTTAGTCTTAAAATAATGATAATGTAAAACACAAATTATCAAATGCCAATTACCAATCTTCTTTTCCGTGGTCGTTCATTGCCATCATCGTTACTTTGATTGTTCTCGTCGTCATCATGGTGTTCATCTTCATCTTCTCGATCCTCTCCGTCCTCCTCCTCTTCCTCGTAATTGACCTCATCTTTTTCATCATAGTAGATGTCATAGTTAATATCATGATCTAAGACAACTAGCTCAAGGTCAAAGTTTCCCGTGTCTTGTTGTTGTTCCACAATTGCAGTTGCTGATCCTGAGGCCTTTGGAGAAGCAATTAGATGAATACTGTTGAGGGTAAAAATGTCTGCCAAACTTGGAGGAATTTCCTCAAGTCTCTTACAATAATATACCAAAAGCTTCTCGAGACAAGAAAATGGGGGATTGTCATAGTCATCAGAGTCATTTATTATTTGTTTAACATTCATCCGATACACCTTCAAATACTTGAGTTTTGAAAACTCACCATCTCCCAAAATCCAGGTTGTTCCCTTACATGCATTAAAATATAGTCGTAGAGTTTCGAGATGAGGTAACTTTCCAATCATTGACATGGCACTCCAAGGTAATCCTATATACCACAGCGACAACTTCTTAAGATTAGTAGGAAAGTTTATGTTTAGATTTCTCCAACCATGATTGGGATTCACCTCAATACGGTTAGCTATCGATAAGCTCTCCAATTTTCCAAGAGATTCAAACATAGATAACCACTCGGGTCGAAAACCTTCATCAAAGGAACAACGCAACCTCCTAAGACTTGATAAGCCTCCTAAAAACTCAATTGTCTTACAATCATAGCGAAGAGTTATTCCTCTTAGTGACTCGATCTTACTTGCTGCTACTGTTGCAGACATATTTTCTCCAAAATCATCCGATTGAAGAAGAAGTATTCTAATTCGGACAGAGAGTAAACTTTTTATCCCCCAAAAACATTTTGGCAACCTCAAATAATATTCAGCAGCATACAACTTGAGTGTTTCCAAGTTCCACAAATTAGCTATTGACTTTGGAACATGAGAAAAAGAACCGCGCAATGACAAGTATCTCAGATGAATATTGTAAAATATTACCTCAGGAATAGCATCACACTTGAGATGCAATAATGTCATTTCCAGTATTGTGAGAGCTCCAAAGCAGCTAAGAAACTGAGACAAGAATTTATGATGAACTGGTACAAGATCACGAGACAACATCAATAGAGAGTGAACTTCACTCATGGGCAAGTCCTTTCTGCTTGAATTAGAAGTTAAGTACGTAAAATCTGGATCTTTGTCTCGCATGCAAAGCCAATGATGATGATACTTATACTTTAAGGGACTAGAATGATGAGAATTATCTAGAACAGTATTGTAATCTACCAAGTGTAAGAGATTGCCTTCCATGACTTTCCGCAAGCACAAGTCATGCAATAGATCATGAACAACACAACTTCTTATTTTCCCTGTTGAACTTCTTCCAGTGGCGATAATCAAGTTTTGAGAAACAAGATATTCCAAATACTCTCTAGCCAAATAATATTGTGAAGAGTGCACCTCATTTTTCTTTATAAATCCTTCAGCAATCCAAAGGCATGTCAAAGTATTGGCATTAATGTTTTGACCCCTTTGGAAAATTCCAAAATAAAGGAAGCATGGTTTCAAATGATGTGGTAGATGTTTGTAACTTAATTCTATTATGTCCATGCACCCTTCATCTGCAAGGTGGGATTTCAGATTTTCCGCTACTTCTTCCCACAAACCCAATTCCGGTGATTTGGTTTTTAGGTGAGAGGCAACTAGGACGACTGCCAAAGGTAAACCCTTACAATCACTTGCAATTTGTCTTGCTACCCCTTCAAGTTGTGTAGGAAAACCGTCCGTGAAAGAAAGCTTATTTTTCATCAATTCTAAACTTTCCTCATCAGAAAATAATCGAAGATGATGAGAAATAGAATATTGTTTACATTGTATAGCAAGATCACGATTTCGACTAGTAAACAAAATTCGACTTCCTTTTTTATCATCTGGAAAAGAATGTTTGACTTGAAACCACACATCGGCATCCCAAATGTCATCCAAAACAATGAAATATCTTTTCCCTTTCAAACTTTTCCACAACTGATCAGCTAAATAGTGGACCTCGAAGTTGCTATAATCATGGTCATTATCATCTCCCCGCCACATATTGGCAAGCATTTCCCTTATTTTATATTCTTTAGTGACAAAACACCATTTAATTTTATGAAAATGATGCTTGATTGACAGATGATTACAGAGTTGTCTTGCTAAAGTCGTCTTGCCTTGGCCAGGCATTCCAGAAATGGAAATAATTGTGAGATCGGCCCGGCCTCCTAAAAGGTTGTCCACTATTGATGCCACAGTCTCTGTAAAACCTATAAAGTTTTCTTCATGTATTGAGGTAGTTACTCGCGAGACAATACTGTCACTAGAATCCATTTGATCAAGAGTTACCCTGTTGTCGCTGTACATGTGAATGTGATCTGTAATCTTTTCAAACTCATAGTTTACAAGCTTAATGTCTCGGATGACGTTTGGTAGACACACAATGCCATACCAAACAGAGAAACTTGTGATTGGACACAACTTTGTGACATATGCTGTGTAGTGTGTCAAATTGACAATTTTAGTCCAAAGACCTTCGAACCCGCTGGGGTCATCATTCTGTAAACGTTGGAGAAGTGGCCTAAGTGAACTTAACCCCTCATAGACTTGAATAACCTTATTCTTTACTGAAGGAATAAAATCCACATCCCCTCTAAGCATATTTTGCATTGTTTCTAAGAGGGAATCAAGAAATCCTTTTTCATTATAATTAGTCTTGGGAGAATGGAACTGTGATGACAGAGTACTAACATCAAACGACTCTCGTGCGTTAGTCAGAATTCTCTCAATCTTATGGAGGAAACTAGATAACATACTAGACTCGAGAATGCACACTGTGGGTGGCAATTCCTCGACGACGGCATAAATTTCAGCCAATATCAACTGAGTTTCCGCAGAACCCTCATTTGGCGAATCCATGACAAACGAAAACAAGAAAGTCAACCCCTCGCGAAGAGTTTCAACATCATCATTCACATAATTTTCAAGAAGAAAATCAACAAAATCCGCAAGGAGTGAAGGAAGCTTTGTACCTTGAAGCCTGTGATACTTGGCAGCCTTAAACACATCAAGGAACAACACTATGTTTCCTGGATTGTAAGGAACAACCTTCTGCATCAACTCAGAGAGCGTACCTGACAGAGCAGATCCAAGACTCTCGTGATCCATTCCATCAATCCAGTACAAGCACGCGAGACACGAGATGTGACTCGCCCAAGCCTGGATGTGATACATGAGTTCGTCTGTTCCCCTGGATCTATGTCGCCACAGCGCAAGAATCGAAACAAACCTTCTGAACAGCTTGAGCTTCCGTCGAAGAAGGACAAATTGTTGCCGAGTAACCGGATGAGGAAGATATGGGACAAGTACGCCAAGATTCCTTTTGATCAAACTCATGAAATCAACTGTCTCATCTCCATATTCATGAGAGGAAACCACCAACTGGAAAGAAGAGAACTCGCATTTGAATGCCCCATCACCGGCTAGTAAAAGAAAGCACATCTCTCTGATTCTTGACTTGTAACTCCGAATCGCACTCTGTAAAAGATTGAATGCCTCCCAAACAGTACTGTTCCCTCCTCCTAAAGCAGATTGAAATTGTATTTGAATCGCCTTTGTCGTCCGCCTTAGTTCTTGAGCCATAAAAGTGAAACGCAACATCAATTCATGATCTTCAAAGAGTTCTTTTGGGAAACCCAAACCCCAAAAGAACATTTGGATGCATCTCAATTCGAAATTCCTAGCCCGGATGGTGTTCTTCAAACGGGTAGGACATCGGGATAGATTGCGATCATCAAGTAGTATTTTCAACATGTATTCCGCATGATCCACACAAGCTTTATACCTTGTCCGGATCAGCCACTCCATGATTTCTGTTTATATTGCAGAATCACAATAAGTGAGTGTAACAGGAAAATTTCTCTCTGTGGAATTTGAACCAAATGAAATGAAGATGCAATGCACCCGACATATTCAATCAAAGTTTATGAACTGTGTGGGCCATCCCAATAATTCCTGTAATCTAACTTTGTTTCATTTTTTTTTTATTGACTTTTTCTTTGCTATAAGTCTTGGGCGGTAGGGTATGGTACATTTTCTCCTTTTAGTCTATTTTTTGGGAAGTGAATAATTTGATCCTCTTGGTCTTTTCATTAAATTAATCGATTTTTTAAAATTCAAGTAATTCAAGTAACACTGGAGCAGCTTAGGACTACAAGTGACGAGACATACTAATTCATAGACTGATATCCAAAAGAGAACCTTATCTCCCTAAAAAAAAAAAAAGTTCATGTTGAGTGAGTTATAAATAATTGCACTAATTTATACTAAAACGTACAACTTTCAAAACTCTATATTTTTAGAACAAGAACTCAGGAAGAATATTTATTTATTTATTTATTTATTTATTTACTTATTCAGTGGGAGAACAAAATGTCGGGTTTTTTTTTTTTTTTTTGGAGTTTGGAATTAAAGTAACCAAAATCTATTATATCCAAAGTTTCCTTTGAGGTGTGCTTATTTGTCCAAAAAAAATAGGTCATATTAAATTTTTTATTATTTTTTGGGATGAAGTATATTATGATTGATGATGAGTGACACGGCATATAATAACAAGCACCTAGGTATACTTTGCAATGTGTACTTCGTGGGCATGTGTAACACACTCTCCTTCTACACAAGTTGATTTTTTTCTCTAATTTTCAGTTATACGAGCATTAAATCCTCTAATTCTCATCCCATTTTTTTCCTCACATATTTAATTTTAAACCGTTTTCTTTTTTGTTTATCCTGTTATCTTTTATATTATTGGGAAAATTTTTGAAAAGGGCATGACAAGGATCAAAATTATTCTTAAGGGTATTAGTATTTTTTTTATTTTATAATATGATTATTAAAATAACTTCTATACATTTTAAAATTTAAAAATACTGGTTTACCCTTTTCTAGCTAACCACTGTAACTTTTTATTTTCCCCCTTTTTTCTCCCTACCCTATTTTTTCCATCGTCATCTCCTCCATTGTTACTTTCTGACTCCGTTCGTGATTCCCTCTGGCTAGTATTATTATTACCCTAGTTCTTAATTTGGCTAACAACTTAACGTTCATGTTTTAATTTATGAAATGTTGTCGATTGATGCAAGATTTCATATATTTTTAAGAAGATGTTGTAATCCAATTCGTTAACTGGAATCCCCTTCTTTGTGAATATTAGGGCTATCCTGGATTCATGTTTTCCCTATTAAAATTCAATAGTTGAAACCATGGAAGCTAAAATCCGAATGGAGAAAACAACAAAAAATGATTTGGATCAAAATGGTTGAATTCAATAACACACCTTAAGCTCAATCGTGCTTTTGAGATGAGAGCCGCCGGTTACTGTTTTGATGAGGAAGAAGGGATAAAAAAAAAATTATGTGGTCCTAAAAAGGATAAAATAGTCTTTTACCTTGTCACAAATATTAGTTGTGTTTTAAAAAATTTAGAAAGAAAATTAAAAAAAAAACTAATGCCCTTAAGAATAATTTTAATTTTTCCATTGCTCTTTCTAAAAATTTTCCCATAAATTTATTTTATGAGAAATTTTTTTTATAGCTATGGATTTTATTTGCGTAAAATTGAATATGATTCATCGTCAAGACTTATGAATCCGAAGAATCAATTGGAGCAAAAAATTTGAACAGGTTATCAATGAAATCTTGAGAATTAAGCATCAAATATGGAAGATTTTAATAGATAACGATGTTTGTTTGATGAATAATGATGATATTGTAGATGAATAATGGTGTTTTTATAGTGACAAAATTATGGATTAATAAATTTAAAATTTTGAAATGAATATAGATATTTACAAAGATGAATAACGAAGCAAATGTTGATGAATAATGATCCCATTCAAGATGAATAACAATAATAAAATGAAGAATAGATATATATTTGCATGATGAATAAACATATCTATGGAATAAATAACACATGTTCAAACGATGAATAACATATCTTTACAGGATGAATAACACTATTTTACATTATTAATAACACTACTCATTGTTTTTAACATATACGGTCTTGAATGATTCGTCGATACTCAACACCTATATGTTGATTGTTCGATTTCAGCAACTCTGCCAAATATTTGATTCCCGACCTATCGAGTTCATCTTGATGAACATTTCTTTGCCGTTTATCAAACAAAAAAAAACATTACAATAAGTGAGATTTTACATTCAATCAAAACTCTGTTAATCATCAATAACAATGCTATTGAAGATAAATAATCATTTTGAAAGTAATGAATAAATCGAATCCAGTTGATAGCAATTGTTACGGTACATATTACATGATGAATAACAACATAATTGATGATGAATGACATATATTCGTATGATGAATACACATGTTCAAACGATGAATGACATATATTGACAGGATGAATAATGCTCTTTTACATGATTAATAGCATATATTTACAATTGTGTACAATCACATATTACATGATGAACAACATCACTTGTAGTTTGTATCACAATTAGAATGAATAACTAAGCGAAAATAATGAATAACTAGAAATAGATGATATATAAACATTTCACAAAAGAAGAAAACAGGACTAAAACAACTCAAAATTGATGATGAATAATGATATCGAGATGATGAATAACCGCCAGAAATAGATAATGATGTCAAAATCTGATTTCCAAAATCAACCACAAATCGATGAACAAGACTAAAATATCGATGAACTAACATGTTTTAAAAATGAATAATGATATTAAACTGATGAACAAAGCCTAGATCTATTAATCTTTTCCAAAATCAACCGCAGATCGATGAACAAAACTAAGAAATTGATAAACTAACATCATTAATCGATGATGAATGATGAATAAACATTTCACAGAAGAAGAAAACATGACTAAAAGAACCATACATTGATCGAGATGATGAATAATGCCAGATCTATGAATATTTTCTGAAATCAACCACAAAGCGATGAACAAGACTAGAATATCGACGAACTAACATGTTTTAAAGATGAATAATGATATTAAACTAATACAGAGCACCTAGATCTATTAATCTTTTCTAAAATCAACCATATATCGATCAACAAAACTAATCGACGGGAATAATCTCAAATATTTGCCACCGGACAAAACACAAAACAGATCTATTAAACTGATGAACAACACCTAGATCTATTAATCTTTTCCAAAATTCACCGGACAAAATACAAAACAGATGAATAATCTCAAATCTTACCGTAATTCTTATATTCAGCAGTGTATATTGCAACCAAACTCACGGGATTTGATGTACAATTTCGTGTTTCAAAATACCACCGATGAGATGTTTTGATGCCAAATCGCTACAGAGAATATTTTGTTTTTTAGATTTTTTAGTTTGAGACGTCTTTGGATTGGAATAGGAAGTTGGATGGATATGATTAATGATATCTGAAAATTAGAAGAGGTATTACGAAATTGAAATTTTGATTTTTTTTTTTTACCCTCTTTTTGGGTGCGTGAATTTCAAACGTGTAGCAAGGAGCTCTATATTATAAGTGTGAGTGACACTGATAAAAGAAAGGAGAAAGTAATTTTAACTTTGAAGATGTATCGTACGCGCCTAATAATCAGTTTCCGTGAGTTTCAAATCAACCAATAAGATGGCAGGAGTATTTATTTTTCAGGGGCCGAAATTGGTTCGTTCATCAATTAGCAATAAGATGGGACATAGTATGTGACAATAATGTTCTCTTGCAATTAATATTGCATTATTTCGTCAGCTTTTTAGTTGCAAATGATAATACAGCCTCAATAATTTCGCCCCTCTTGAAATCAATGGCTCCTCCTCTGTACCACTCTTAAATTCCTTATTCTCTAATCCCAGAGCTTTTTAATTTGAAATCTTGAAATTTAATGGCTGGGAAGGAGGTGGTGGCCGGTGGACGATCGACTGCTATGGGTCGGGACTTGGGAAGGGCGATGGAGACGAGATTATATACAGAAAACTAGTATCTGCTTTTAAGAATGTCTTGTTGAGATCACTTTGGTGGATTCATCGAAGCTGAAAAGAAGTCGAAGAAACTAAAACCAGTCCCTCCTTTTGACTCGTCATTGTAATTCCATCTCAGTTAGTTCATTCCGTTTGTCAAAGTATAATATGATGGCTTTAGAACTTTAGTCATTAAAATCCTGTCTTCCAGGTTGCATTTCACGGTAATAATCTTTTGACTCTTCATTGTAATTTCATCTTAGTTAGTTCATTCCGTAAAGTCAAAAAAAGAAGAAAAGTTCATTCCGTTTGCCAAAGTATAATATGTTGGCTTTAGAACTTTATAAGTCATTAAAAATCCTGTCTTTCAGGTTGCATTTTACGGCAACAAGTTACAAGATCCATAATCCTATAGACTTTCATTTTATAATTTAGCTACATGGTTACAAGTCTTCAATGTCTTCTATAATCAAGAAGCCCCTTTTCAGTTTAGTTCCTAGTTTTATAAATTAAGGGCTATGAAGATATCTGTACAATGCCATTTTTAAAAATGTATCTGATCAGATTCTACCAACAAACTTCAAGAAGAGAGAGATTAAAGCATTCTTGGTCTTTTCTGTTCTTTTTTCCCTCTTAGTTCTAAGGTTGGAAGATATATCAGATTTAATAAGCAATGCAAACTAAATGAAAATCAAGATAACTTGCTTAACAATCTCTTGTCAAGATGAATCCATAACAGTCTTATCTTAAGAGAAAGAAAAGAAGGAACCAAAAAAAAAAAACCCTCCAAGGGGTCAGTAATAATTATGAGCTTCTCCCAAAATACAGGGATATGGAGACGTAATAATCTCAAACTTGACCAAGTCCAAAGAGATAATTATTAAGGATATCAGAATCCAAAACTCTATAGGAATAGACAAAGAATTAGTACTACAACTAATTAGCGCTGCAACGGTAATAATAAACTTTCCTAAATCGAAATCCAAACCTCAATTGGTTTTTCGCCATTCATCATCATCTATATAACACCCAAAACCCTCACTATTCTCTTCTACTTTATTTCTTCACTAGTTCAGTCTATATCTGAAACCAGTTATCTCTATTCACAGCAAACTTGATTGGGCAATTTTCATTATCTTCATAGTTCTGTCCACTTTATTCTTTTGGTGTTTGTTATTTGGTTCAGATCAATTTCTAATCAATCTTTTTTCATCACATTAATTAAGTACTGGCGATTGCAATAGCAGAGAGTGTGGTTGGGATAGGCGCTGATGGTCTATCGAAACTGGCCATAGCCACGGCAGTCAGAGTTCTAACATTCAAATCTTCCTTACGTCGTTTAAATCAACGATTGGATGAGTTGAGCCCTTATTTCTATCAGATTATATATCTGAACGAAAATTATCTCAACAGCCCGGGTGAAGAAACAGAGGAATTCATCAACATCATGAATCAGGGGAACGATTTGGTTAGGGAGTGCAATCAGATCAGATGGTGGGATTTCCACAAAATGGATGTTTTCTGTAAGAGAATCAAAGAGTATAATAAGATTATGAGCAAGTTCTCTCGAGACATCATGATTGCTGTGGCTGTCAGGGATTGTAAACTCACTAGACTTGAGTTGAATAACTTCCGGGAGGAAGTCAACAACAAGTTGGATTTGGTCATCTCTCGCCAATCAGCATCCACTGCAGCAGATCATCATCACGCCTCCACCAAGAAGAAACTCAAGCATACTTCAAGATGAAGATATAGGAGGAGGAGATCCATCAATTAGTTTTAGAATATGGTAAATTTTCCCCTGTGTTAATTCATGCTTATATGTTGTTTAAAGTAGTTGAATTCATATTCTGAAGAATTCTTGCACTTCCTCTCTGAAGTGGGTCTTTAGTAATAATGTTCAGTTCATCCTTTTTTCCCTCTTAGTTCAATACTATTTGAATATAATTTCAGTGTTTTTTGTTACAAAAATTTGCTTTAAAATTGACTGAAGAGAATGATTAGGCCAGAAAATATGTGACAAAGAAAAACAAAAAATCAAGCTGACCCAAGATCATATCAAATTTGTCAGAGTTCTGAAGTTTAAAGTCAGGAGAGGTTTTTAAATCCGCATACTTTTCATAATTTCCATTAGAGTACCTCTTCTCGGATTAGTTTTACTTACTTTAATAGCATCAAAAGCTACTGCAAGCTACAGTTCTGTATTCGTGTTCGTTATCAGATTCTGCTACCGATGCCTTTGTTTGCCTAGAGATTGATTTCACTTGGTGTGTTCTATTTTCATTTAATTAAACTGTTGGATATCTTTCAATCTATATCTTGAAACTTCATCGCAATCATGATTGGGCAAAGTTGAGTTCTTGGCAAAATTCCTTTAGTATGAGGAGAACTATGGGGTGACATAACTAACTTTTTGGCTAAACAGCGGCATTTCAAGAGTATTGGTTGTCTAGTACTGAACTCCCAAGCTAGTTTTGTTACATTTGTAGCCATTTAATCTGATATCCTGAAATCGATACCCAATGCATTTCTTGATCTAGAATCTAGAGGTTAGTTATTTGAGTGTTCTAGCTAGTGGGACTAATGTGCTGCTGTTGCTGGACAGGTGCGAAATGAAATACGTCTTGTTGGAAATGGATTGGAACTTGAGGCCTAACCGGTATGCAATAATCCGTGAGTCGCCCGATTTCGTCAATGCTGCTGCAACCATCGCCAAGGGAATAAAGTGGGGAAGTCGTAAAGAAGAAACAGAATAGGATCTTGACAAGGACAAGACATCGGTTTTGCTAAAAGAAACTCTAGTATTCTAAAAACTGCTCAAGTTGATAGGAGTGTAAAAAATGCAGACAAGGAAATTTTCGCATTTTCATCCTTCAAATCCAAGAGATTAAATTGGCTTCCCTAATCTTTTCTGTTCTTTGCTTTCTTATTCAAGGTTCAAGAATTTATCACGTTCAAAACAAAGAAAAAGCAGTAAAATTGAAGTGAAAATCAACATGGCTAACTCCAATAAATCAAATTCAAGATACACATAACTTCTTTATACAGTTGATCATCACCTTTGGGTGATCTAAAGAATGACAACCTCAACACATATACAAAATTAGTACCTGAAAATTGTTTCTACTTTCTTGTGCATCAAATTCTAAGAAATGTGAAGAACAATTTCCATAAATAAACAATTTTGTCTCCCTCCAGAATTCAAGAAGTTAAGAACTTTTCTAATATATATTATGGTCCTCTTTCATTCAAGCTTTTCAACAACAGGGCTGCAAAACTCCCCAGCCTAATGGCTTGATAACTCGATCAAGAACCAATCTTTTTGGCCTCTTGGAAGAACTCTCTGAAACAGAGTCATCTGATAGAAACCTCTTCCGTTTTTGTTGAGCCGCAGAAGGATTTATTAACAGCATTGGTTTCATCAGCCACTCGAGGTCTTCTTCATCCTCAGGAAGCTCGAATTCAGAAGTACTAATCAAACTTATTTCTTCATCCACTGCTTCAAAACCAGAAACAAATGGGTGTTTCAAAAGCATGTTAGCTGTCCATCTCTGAACTGGATCGTTAATCAGACACTTCTCCAGAAAATCTTTGGCTTCCTTAGAGAACCCTTCAGGAATTTCAACTCTCTGGTTTGCCATCTTTACTAGAAGCCCAGCTTTATCTTTGACTTTGGAGTTGGAAACATTTCTGAGGACTCTTTTGGTAAGCATCTCAAAAACAGAACACCCAAGCCCCCAAATATCAACTCCAAAATCATACTCATCCCGAAGAATCGATTCCGGTGCCATGTACGCCGCCGTTCCCCTCCAGGTTCTCCAATCAATCTTCGAGTTCTTTCTCCAGTGTTTCTTCCTAAACTTCTGAACCCTTTTGGAGAGCCCGAAATCAGCAATTTTGGCGACATTGGATCCGGCGCCATCGTCCACCAAAAGGATATTGCTGGGCTTGATATCGCAATGGGCAAACCCTTTTCCGTGAATATAACTGAGTCCCTTGAGAATCGATCTAGTGCGTTTCCTTACTTCATCCTCAAGCAAGGGAGCCGCAGAGTGGTAAATACGATCCAACAAACTCCCACCGGCTGCGTATTCAAGCATCACATTATAAAAAATAACGCCGTCTTCTTCAGTAACGTCAGATCCGTAACACTGAATAATGTTGGGACAATCTTGCAATTCGCTCAACACAAGCCTCTCCTCTTGTAATGGCTGCGAGATGGAGAATTCCGAAGATTTCACGGCGAACAGGGGAGGCAATTTCAGGTCCAAACCCACATCAGAGGTTGAAGAAGAAGATGCCTTTGCCAAGGAGACAATACCATAACCTCCCTCGCCCAGGAGTCCAACCCTAGTCCAAGAAGACATCTTTGTTTTCAGATTCGATTCGAACAAGATTGAGGAACGAATTGAGAGTTTTCGATCTGTCGAAGGAAGGAGTTTCCTGTTGGGAGTGGCATATATAAAGCAGTTAGGATTATTGGTGGCGGTGAATTGTTGTTAACAGGTTTTTAGCCGGTTCCAGTTATTCCTTTGACTTGGTCGTTCTTCCTTGAAGAGAAAGTAATAAGGAAATAATTAATTAATTAAACAAAAAAGGAATTAAAAAAAAAACAAAAAGAAAACGAGGTGCTTTGAGTCCGTTTTTCTTATATTTTTTCAGTTTTATGATAACATTTGAGTCCCCTCTTGCCTTAATAATTAATTTAGAGATAAATTAGTGAAAATAATTCAGTATAAAATATTTCACCTTAAATCTATCATACATCATTTTTTCTAAATTCAACTTTCATATGTTTATTAGCCAAAATTGTTTATCATTCATGTTGTGCCATGCTTAGGCTTTGATTTGCTTAGAATCGATCTACATCCTTCAAATTTTAGATTACATTTCCAATCTCATGGTCTTTTTACTGAGAAATATTTGGCTTAAACAGGAGAAAACGATTCAAAATCATGTTTTAAATAATTACGGTGATTTAGGTACAAATGCATGACTTTTGGTCCTTTTGGAGGGCTAAAGTTTCTTAAAATTGTTTTCACAGCATTTTCTGGGTTACTCTTCATGTGGAATTAAGCAGCTTCGTATAGTAACTTGGAACACTATTTCCTTAAATCTCGGAAGCAAGATTAACAGAAGCAGAACTGTGGGAAGAGTATTCGGCTTGCTAGGAAGCATTAATTAAATTTCATTGGCAATGTATTTTGGTGTAGTAAATGCTAATATACCGCATTGTCATTGTCACATTATTCCAGATGATGTATGAAATTGGTAAGAATAATGAATGAAACAAAGTTTTTATTACTTTACTGCAACAATTTATATTGTTTATTATCATCATCATTCCAATAGTTTGAATTGTAATGAAGCTTTTGCTACTGCATTTTGGTTGGATCATTAGGAATCTGGCTGAATGCCAACTTCAAATTGAAAAATGGAATAACGGGTTTAAGATGGATCAGTAAATAGAACATGTCTATTTAATTTTATCCGTCAAATATAATTCATCAATTGGATTCTCTGAGAACTAAGAATATCATTTTAGCTATAGTATTATTAGCACTAAATTCGACTCTCTGGTTTTGTTTTTTTTTTTTTTTAAAACCCTAAAAAAGTGAATATGCCATGCAAATATGGGCATTAGACTAAGCCTCGTTTTATAAAACTTAATTTGGGTCTGAAGTCTGAAATCTGAAATCCGAATCATAAGTACTGAACTGATCAAGTTTGTCATGTTTGATAAAAATCAAGATCTGAAGACTGAATAAAATGTCTGAAATATGAAGTTTGAACACTAAAATTTAAAGTATCTCGACTTATAATTTTATCTAAAGAAATAATTGATGTATATATATATATATATATATATGAAACTGTGATAATAAAAATAATAGTATTATTATAAAATTATGTAATAAAAATATTTAAATTTTATTATATAATTATTTCTTCAGTTAATAATAATATCATATCTTTCCCATTACGTACCAAGAAAATATCATATATTTATGATAAATATATATTTATATTGAAGTTTATTCATATTTTATTTTTTTATATTAACATAAATATTTATTAAATAAAATATAATTTAAATAAATTTTAATTCATAACTAAACACTAAGATAAATAAAAATATTTTAAGATAAAACATCAAAGTATAAACATAAAGGTAAATAAAAAGGAAAAAAAATCATCTTAGAAATTTAGTTCAGACATAAATGATAGGCCTATTATTTATTTTTAAACTCACATTTGTACTAGCATTTCATATTCACTTAATTTTTCAAGACATCCTAATTTGAGTTATCAAACGCACTTAAAATTTAAGTTCTTAATTAGTTAAGTTCTTAATCAATTAAGTTGTTATGAGATTGCGTTATCAAATAGTGTAAATTAATTAAGCACTTAATTAATTAAGTTTAAGTACTGAATTGGTTTATCAAACAGGGCCAAGAAAATGCAACAGTTCAATATAGTCATAATTAGTTAAGGGAGAAATTTGTGTCAATAATACTCCCCTCTCATAAAAATAGTTCACTTATAAAAAATCTTGTTCCATAAAAATAGTCCAGGTTCTAAAAAGTCAAAATTAAAACAAGTGAAATGACTTAATCCCCTGTCTGATAAACAAAATCAATGATCAATCGGAGCCAAACTTTCAATTCAGACGGTGTCGGTGGACGAGCTTCGGCAGCAAAGTCTTAAATCCACAGTTGTCCAGCGATAATTTTGGCAGAGAGAATGATGATTATAGCTAATCGAGAGGATGAAATGGCGAAAGAAAAAGTCACCGCAAAAGTCCTCGACTTTGTCAAGAGCTTCCCAAAAGTTTACTCTTCCAAGGTCTTCACTGATTCTCAAATTTTTCCTTCTTAGATGATGTCTTGCATATCAAATTTACACTTTGTTATAATCACTGAACATTTAATTATACTGAAGAAATTTTAGGGAAATTCTTTCTAAGTTTTTTACTTCCACTTGTCATTCTAATTTTAATTCTAGGTTTCTGGATTTCTCTAATAAAGAAAAGTTTGTTTTTGAACTGGAATGTTGATTTCAATGTGATTAAAATTACCTTTCCAACCGATACAAACTCAATCGAATATTTCGGTCCATCAACGAATCTAAAACTTTAACATAGTAAATGATAATAATTATTATACTCATTTCGGAGGAATAAAAAGGTGATCAAGAACAAATTTACTTCTATATTTTTCCTTATCTTATTGAATATCAATTTTGTTTCACACAGTTTCTCTACCTGAGGTTATTCTTTCCACCCTTTTGGGGCAGTTGGTTGGTCGTTTTACAACCTCAAGTGGTTAGTTTTCTTAATCAATTATATCAATCACAACGTTACTTTGGATGGAAGCAACCACACATCTCGATCTCTCGCGTCTTAAAATGTTGCCATCAGATCTTTCATATCACTATTTTGTACCACGCTCACATAATCTAATAATTTTATATGTAAATTTTGTATATTTTATTCGATTTACACTATTTGATTATCGCTTTTACATTATTTCCTCCATTTTAAAGAAAAATAAAAATTCACTTTCCTGGAAACATTACAACGAAGTAGATTATTTTCTTGAAAAAATAGGGAGTAATATATTTTTAGAACTAATATATATATATATATATTTATTAGAACTAAAAATTCACTTTTTTCCGGGTGAAAGGCCTTTTCATTTTAATTTTTTATTGTTTAAAGATTTATTAAATTTTATTTAAAATATTATATTGATACAAAAAGTATATATCAACATTACGTTAATTTTAGATTGTCCTATTTTTATTTTGTATTTTCAAATTTTTGGATATAAGATATATGAGATTACTCTAATTAGTAAATCCGGATTCGAGTTCTCTCCACCAATTGGTGGATTAATTAACGACCAAAACAACCATTAGGCATTCCAATGGTAGACCAAACATTTGACATAAACCTAATTTAAAAAGACTAACAAGTAATGTAATTGATCTATATTAATGTAACAAGGTTTAGCTAGACGACCAGACCTAAATCGATCTCGTTTCTTTTACTTTCCCTGATTCCCTTAATTTACATTTCTATTTGGTTTTCACGTCTTCAACTATGGAGAAGAGGCTGTATGAGGCAGCAGTTATTGGTAATACTGATGCCCTTTCTGATCTAATCAAAGAAAATCCTAAAGTTCTTGATCGAAACTATATGAATTCTGAGGGTGATAAGAATGCTCTTCACTATAGTTCAATGTTCGGCCATGAGGGTTTTGTGAAAGCCATTCTAACAGCCAATGATTCATCAATCATTTCTCGTCACATGTGTTTGGCTGGGGATCGAAACGGCAGAAACCCGTTGCATCTTGCTGCAATGCATGGTCAGTTGAACATCTTGCGTTTGATACATGATCATGATGGGTTGATTCAAGCAGCTCTAGCCAAAAAGGCAGATGGAGGGAATACCATTTTACATTTATGTGTGGAGCACAATCAGCTAGAAGCCTTGAAATTACTACTTGACACTTTTACCGATCCTGAATTCCGAAGTGCCAAGAACGAAGACGGAATGACCATATTACATCTGGCCATATACCATAACCATAATCAGGTACCATCATTCCATATGGTTTATATGCCACTATTTTCATTTTCCCTTTAATTTTATTCTTTTGCTTTCTTCTGTTTGAGAAATTGGTTAGATGCCACTTAATTTATACCCCTTTTTTTATATTTAAATCAGTGGGTTATTAATAAGTAATTTTCATTTCTCAATTCTCTTAGCGACTATTCTTCCTCTACGTACGTTTGAAGTTTTCTGTCACTCTCGTGTTATTATCTCTGGCGACTAAAACTACAAACTCAATTGAGTTAAAAGACATTTATGTTCAAACACAAACATACTACAGTACATCTCTTCTGAAAAATTGTATAGTGATTTGATAGTATCCAAGCTCCATTTGGACAAGAGTTTTAAAAAGACTTTTAAGGCTAAAAAGTCTGTTTAGAGTTTAAAATGCGTTTGGACAAAATAATTAAAGTCTTTTCTAAACATCAATTTGAAAAAAAGAAGGTTTGAAATAGACTTTTTAGAAAATAGGTAGGGGTATTTTTCAATTTTTTGAAACAGTCTTTTTAGCTCCATTCGCGGGTCACACTCCGGGTCAAAAACGGGTTAAAAAAAATCGGGTCATGAATATCATTAACAAGACTAAAAAAAAAACAGAGGTGCGTTACACGCAATGCGCAGTTCCCCTCCCTTCCCATCTTTTCCTCACTGCTCACTTTGTTGTTGGCCCCACTTTTCTTTTTAATTTTTATTTATTTTCAGTTTTATCTTATTTTTTCAAATGATTATATCTTTTAATATATAAATATTTAGACAACTTACTATATATCAAATTAATCTACGCGACAAGATCTTTCTATTAAGAACCATTGTTAATATTTTTGGAATTAAAAATTTCATTCAAATTTATATATCAAAATCACTGTATATATTGTTTAACTATTATATATATGAAAAGGTAAATTATTTTTTTGAACCAAAAAAGTAGTTTTGAAAAAGACTTAATCCAAATGGGTTTTTCATATTTTTGATTCGTAAAAGGATTTTGAAAAATTCTTGTCCAAATGCATTATTTTCCAAAAATTACTTTTTCAACTTTTGTTTCAAACAACTTTTTTGAACAATTTTTCAAAACTTTTCTCCAAATGGAGCCCAAGTTAAAAAGGTACAAGGTTTATATATAGCTTCCTATTGTTAGGTTTCCTATTGTTCGATATTCACCCTAACCATGGAAGGTTGATCTCTTTAGTTTTTAATCCTAGAAGCCAATAATGAGAAAGGTCTAAAATAATTAGTAGGGATTTCATATAGATTTGCATAAGTTATTGGTATGTTTAAAAAAAAAAAAAAAAGATTCGAGCAAATTTAATATGAGAAATTTATGATTGAGAACAAAAATTATCAAAAGACATTTAATTTTGACTTTTGAGTGACACGTCTTCGTTTTCCATATGTTGTATTATCGAGTATTTAAATTTTATATTAAGATAGAGACCAGTTTGGTTATATAATTTAACCAGGAAAAAAAAAACTTCAACTAACTACTTATTTTATATTAAGATAGAGACCAGTTTCCATATGTCATGTTCCGCTGGCTTCTTGTGGTTTATCGCATTTTAGAAATTAACTCCAAAAGTAATAATAGCAGAAGATGTCGTAACTTTAATTTTTGTACAAATACAGAGAAGGCGGGAAATCATCATTTACTTGATAGATAAAGTTCCTGAAATTATCAACACAAGTAACGCAAATGGAAAGACAGCATGGGATCTTTTCTTGGAGCAAGCTAATATCGAACAGACGTTAAGTCTATGGCTCTTGCTAATCTTCAATACACGCAGATTGCGTCGTGTCCTGAACCAAAGCACAATTGACAACGGAATTGTAGTCTCACTACTGAAGACAAAAGCGTTTGCTCACAAGAACATAGTCACCAGAAAGGGTACCAAACACCGCGAGACGTTGGAAAAACGTAAGGACGCAATAATGGTTGTGGCCTCAATAATTGCAACCATGGCATTTCAAGTTATGTTAAGTCCTCCTGGGGGGATTTGGCAAGATAACCTATTGGAAGGTTCAAAACCACATAGAGCAGGACAAAGCATAATGGCACAAGCTCATCGAACCTACTACAAACAGTTGATTGGAACAAGCTCTACAGCTTTTGTTGCATCATTGAGCGTAATTATTCTGCTGGCTCGTGGATGGAACATCCATCAATGGATTTTTTTTGCTATTTCGACGACACTTATGTGGTTATCGGTGGCATCAATCGCTGTTGCTTACGGTATAGCATTGGTGACCATCACACCTGAATCATTGAGAGGGTCTTTAACTGGCGGAGGTCAGATAGCTATCATCGTAATCATGCTATGGGCCGCCATCTTCATCGCCTGGGCCCATGGATTTCTACCAGATCGAGTTGTCGCAAAATCTTTGCCGCGAAGGGGGGCGTGCACCGACCAACCAGTTTGATTAGTGACGCTAGATAATCCAGTTTAATATGATAGAAACTACAATGTTGTGTTCTCTTATTTTCTCTGTCTCGAAACTATTGTTCAGTATAATTTTCACATTTAGAATTAAACTGAACAATAGTTTCAGGACGGCGAAACTGGTGTTTGTGTTTATCTGCATCCATGCATTGAAGTGAAAAAGAAAATACACAATTTTGTCCATCAAGCATGCAACAATGATTTTGAAATCCATATCTTAGAAATACAATGGGCTTGTTGTCATTGTTTTGGTATCATTATTAACAATTGTATTGTCTAAATGGCACTCTTTTTCATTTCATTATAACATTTCCCTGGCCTCAGTCTTAATTAGTGCCTTCTGATTAAAATATGAATTGACTTATTTTGTTGTATTTACGTTACATCATACTGGCGCGCCTTAGGGGGTGGTGGTTCAATGGTTGCTTCTATTTCATGTTTCTCGAACTACTATAAAAAACACTGTCCAAACACATCTCAAAACAACATCAAAGTCCAAATCAACCCGATATTTTATTTTATTTTGTTCGTACGGGGTCAAATTATTATAGTGATCATTAGGCTACTTAGAAGCTGAAAAGAAACAACTTATCCCACGCTTGCCATTATTTTAGTATCAATATTAGAAATACTTGATATTAAATTCCCCCGTTGGATGCGGAAAATAAACTTAAATAGAAATCATAAAATATGGAAATAAAATATTGTATTACTTAACAAATCTATACAAAGACAAACAAAGTGAAGTATATGTTGCCTATCATTCTCATCCGTGCAACCATGATATGCCCCCAAAATTTGAGCTTCCAACGCTGAACAAAAGCCAATAATTACATGAAATCCAAATAGCCATCTCCCTTCATGATCGCGGACCATCATTCGCTTTAACCCAATGAACTGGAGGAGTGGCTGAAGTTACGTTTACCAGGTTGCTAGTGATTCCTCCAGATGCTGGGTTTGAATTAGGACATTGTTGCTAGCTCCATGCGATTTCTCTATTTATAGACCTTGTAGCCGCTGTTAACACACGTTCTTTTGTGTCGCCTTCGCTGAGTTGAATTTGTTCGTGTTCCACACAACTTCCAGCAGGTTGTAGAAAACCGAGTTGCCCATGCGACGGCATCCTGCAAAACAAAACGAGAAAATATTGTTCTTAGTGGTCCATTTTTAAAGATTAGTCCTCCAGACCTCCCAGCTTCTAGAACAATCGCTAAAGATGTGTTGTTTAGTTCCAAGGATCACCGTACATTGCGTCCGTGAATTGTTCGTCAAATTTCTTCACCTAATATTAATCTATGTGCATTGGTCAATGGAGCTCCTCACATGAGTAACCATAGGAAAAGCCTGATTTTCTTTGATCCATGTCGTTTCCGAACTTTCATTTCTTCTCATATGGATTCCACTTGTCCTAAAATACAAAGGACTTTATTAGCCGAGAAAAGGCAGTAGTAGCTAGCTAGTTTTTTGTTTTTGGCTTAACTGCTTTGGGATGAAAAGATTTTCAGTAAAGGTGGAAGGTCTTTATAGTGCGCAATTAAGGCTCATGCTTGTATTGTGATTGTTTTTCCATGACATAAAAATTATAAAAAATAAAAATAAAAATTAGTTCATAAATTTGGCTAAGGGTATTAGTTTGAGTTGGCAAGAACGAAAGATTGGAATTTAAAAACCCTAAAGTTATAAAGAAGAAGAAAACTGAAACTGAGGCTGAATATACTTCTTTTGTTATTCACTTTGATGATACAATACAGTACATAACCAGTACTTATTTATAACCTAACTACGAGAAGTATAAATCAGGTTTTCCGCTGATCATAACAACCTCCGCGAGGTTTCTTCTGATAGTGACGATCTTCGCGCCTTCCTTATTCAATGATAATCTGGTGGTTGCTTGAGATCATCAGCCAGTTGTTGTTGCTGATTAATATGATTGCAGAAATAACTACTGTAACTAGTAATATTGTATGATTAATATGATTGCAGAAATAACTACTGTAACTAGTAATATTGTAAAGGTGAAATAATAAGTGTACAAAAACAGACTACTTCTTGATTAACTGGATACCAAACACATTTTTCTCTTTCTTATGCTTGTAAAGTATGTCCATCCTTATTTTTCTGAACTACCTTATCAGTCCACATACTTGTAGACCTATCATTTGAGTTGGACTGTAATTCAATAATTTTAACACCCCCCTCAAATTGAGCCGGGGTTGGAGGCACAATTTGGTGAGAAAAAAGGGGAGAGAGCATTTTAAGACAGGTTTAGTAAAAATATCAGCAACCTGTCGGTGAGAGGGAACATGTTTGCTAACAAGTAAGCCAAGGGCAGCCCGTTCTCGTAGGAAGTGATAATCCAGCTCGATGGGTTTAATTAGGGCATGAAACATTGGATAGACAGTCATGTACAGGGTACTGACATTATCACAGTAAATAGTAGGTGCGTGCAGAACTCAAAGGGACTTGAAGATCTCATAGGACAAATGTGAACCGTTAATTTCGGTGGCAGTGTTGGCAATGGCCCTATACTCAGCTTCATTGCTGGAGTGGGAAACAGAATGTTCTTTTTTGGCAAGAGATATTGATATTATTGTCAAGAAATATACAATAGCTGGTAGTAGATTTTCGAGTATCGGGACAGCCTGCCCAATCAGTATCGGAGAAAGCATAAAGCCTGAACCTAGGATCAGCAAAACGAGACATACCAAGATTAATTGTGCCTTTAACATAGCAAAGAATACGATATACCGATTTCAAGTGAGTAACAGTAGGAGGATGCATAAATTGAGAAACAAAATTAACACTATAAGAAAGATCAGGACGAGTTAAGGTAAGGTATTGAAGGGTTCCAACAACACTGTGAAACCAACGAGGGTCCAGAAGTCAATCATTGCCTTGCTATGACTTTAGTATTTGCTCAGTGGATTTGTGATGTGGTTGCAAGTTATCAGAATGATCATTTGGTCTTGGATTTCATTGCTGGAGTTACCATTAATGCTTCTTCTCATTCCGAGTTCGAACATGTAAATGGCATTCTGAAGAGAAATGGAAAGATATACATTGGAAACTCTCCTGAATTAAAGTCTACTATCTTGGAGTCCTTACATTCATCACCTTTGGGTGGACATTCTGGTCAGAATGTTACTTTACAAAGATTGAGGTCAATCTTTTTCTGGCCAGGAATGAAGGAAGATGTTATAACTTTTGTTGCACAGTGTGTGGTTTGCCAAAGGAATAAATGGGAACATGTAAAGTATCCAGGGTTATTACAACCAAATCCAGTATCTCAACATTCTTGGAAAAGCATTTCTATGGACTTCATTGTCAAGCTTCCTCCTTCTGAGAAATTTGACACTAATCTAGTGGTGGTAGACAGATTGACCAAGTTTGCACACTTCATCCCTTTGGAACCACCAATTAATGCTTCTAAAGTGGATGAAATATTTCTAAAAGAGAGCTTTAGGCTCCATGGTCTTCCTGATGACATCCTTTCAAATAGAGATTGAGTTTTTACCAGCCATTTTTGGCAGGCCTTCTTCAAATTGTTGGGTGTACAGATTAAACTCATCACAGCATATCACCCTCAGACTGATGGACAGACTGAGAAAGTAAATCAGTGCCTTGAATCTTACCTCAGATGCTTTTGTTATGATAAACCTCTATCTTGGAGCAAATGGATTTCACTAGCAGAATGGTGGTACAACACCTCATATCATTCAACCATTAAAATGACACCATTTGAGGCATTGTACGGTGAGAAACCTCAGATATTTCCTTTAGGGCCATTCACTGATAGTGTGATCCCTGCCACCACTCACGAAGTTCAAACTAGAGCAGCCATTATCAAATTACTGCATGAAAACATGCTCAAAGCTCAGAGCAAAATGAAGCATTTTGTAGATCAACATCGTTCTGAATGTGAATTTGCTGTTGTTGATTGGGTTTATCTGAAGTTAGTCATATAAGCAGTCAACAGTAGTTATCAAGTCATATTTGAAGCTGTCTTCAAGGTATTATGGTCCATTCCAAGTCATGGAAAAAGGTTGGTGGTTGCATATAAACTGAGGTTCCCTCCTCATGTGCGTATTCATCATGTGTTCCACATTTCTCAGGTGAAAAGACACAAGGGAATTCAACCAGCTTCTATCTCTACTCTTCCTGAACCAAAAGTGATTGAAGGGAATGCCTTGCAACCAGACCAAGTATTGCAACATCGATTTATCATGAGGAATGGCTTGACAGTTAATCAATGGTTGATCAAGTGGAAAGATCTTGATGTTGAGGAGTCTTCATGGGAAGATCAAACTTTTATTTCAAGTCAGTTTCCTGCATTTAAAACTTGAGGACAAGGTTTTTCTGATGGAGGGAGCATTGTCACGATCCAAGGGTTTATTTGGCAATTTTGGAATTAAAGGGGGAATTCTGCCATTACTCCAGCCGCCAATAATAATTGGCTAATCACTGTTTTCCATTTTTGTAATAATATTAATTTTGGTAGATTTGCTTATTAATAGCTGTAATCATTTTGTAATAATGATTTTGGACAATTATCACTTTTACCTAATAACAGTTAATTCCATCTTCTCTTCACTTCTAAAATATCCCTCTTCTTGCTTCTCCTTTCTTCTCTCCGACGCTCTGAACTCTAATTCTGGTTGCTGTCTTCCCATCTCCGGTGACCCAAACCTTTCTTTTATTTCCAAATTCATCCGGTGCCTGACAGTTCTCCATCCTCGGCCCACTAGTTTCATCAACTCCATATTTTGCACGAAGTTTTTTTGACCCAATAAGCATCCTAGTTAGTCAACCATTTCCATCCCATTTTCATCACCAAAGCTTGGTTCATCAGTGTTTGTTTTTTCAACCCCGAACCTCCACACACCTTTGGCTTACAAATATCATCCCACTGTACTAACTCATACGTCGATTTATCTCTGATCCCCCCCTCCCTAACACACACAAACTGTCTACTCAACTTTTCAATTTCATCACAACCAGATACTGGAAGCATCATAGCTTGCATAGCATAATACGGCATTGTACTATTTTATAATTAGGAAAATTTTGGATAAGGGGAGTGGAGAGGAAATAATTTGTATTAGGGGCACAACAATACAAGCACAAAATAGAAAAGAAATAAAATTTTCTCATATATAAATCTCATTAGTCTCTTACCTTACTAAATCTTTTTTTCCCTTGATATTTTAGGCAATTATTGATTTTTGAAATTTACGGTACATATATTTATATAGGATTTTTTACAAAAATTCATTATATTATAATTCTATCGTTTTTGTAACATTGTACTAGTCCCAACTTGTGATAGAAAAAATTTATTATTTAATATTCTCCATGTCTTAAAAAAATAGTCTACATTGAATTTTGAGAATGTTTTTAATACAAATTTAAAAGTTAACTTGAACTTTTTTTTAAATAGCGATAGTATAATTTATTATTTCATAGAATATTAATTTAGATAATTTTTCCTATAATTCCTTACTAATACCGTAGATCTCACAAACAGAAAATTTAAGATTGAATTATTATCTTACTTTCTCATTTTTAATTCTTTATGATTCAGTTTCATCCCAATCTCAATTCTTTTCAACCAAACAAATCCTTCTAGTATTTCTTACGTGTGTAGCGATATGTTTTGACGGACGTTTTTAGGATCAGAAGCTATACAGGCTATGTGTATCACCATTTTAACTCAAATGCAGCGGTTGCTCCTCCAAATAATTTTGAATTATCATATTTGTCCAGCAGAACTCATTTTCTTATCTTTTTTTTTAATCAGGGATAAAAATCAACCACTTTTGTTTTCTTTCTATGAGTAATTGCATTTGTTTTTATGGTAATCAAGTCGTGGTTATTCTTTAACTCTTAAGAATTGCTTCTTCTCTTTTTTAAACTTTTGGTTTCATGATTTCATGATATTGAGGTTTATGTTTTCCTTCCTCTCCATCGACACCCCCCCTTCTTTTTGCATCCTCGAATCAAACAAAGTTCAATGTTTTGTACTCCCTCCATCCAAGAAAAATAGTCAACATTGAGTTTTCAAATTTGTACTAAAACTAGTACAAATCTCAATACTCAATGTGGACTATTTTTTTTGGGATAAAGGTAGTATTATTGTGAATTGCATTCTCCCCGGTTTGTTAAATTTTTGTTTATTGGCCGCGAAATAAACAGTTCCCATGATTGTCCCGCCTATTTGCCTCATACTTTACCGTTTCAATAATTTGATAATTTTTCCAGGTTTGTAGACATGCTTAATGAGTATAATTATTAAAATAAACGCTTTTTCATTTAAGTGTGTTCGATAACAAAAAATGAACTTAATAAATTAAGTGGTATTGAAATTAAAGTACAAAATATAAGTAATAAAAGTAAGTTGATTGGTTATTTCGAAACTATTTAATGAATTTAGTATTTCTAATTTTTAGAATTAATTTTAAATTAATGAAACAACTATTGATGAATTGGGGATATATGTATGTATTGACCATTGATTTATCTCTGAAATAGTTAAAGTGATATTGCTGATGTTGCCATGATATCATCACCCTGCGGGGCAAACATAAAACTTTTCTAAACGAAAAATGGAAAAGATGAAATTCATGAAAAATTTATAAATACTGAAACTACATATAGATTTGCGCTACAAACTCCAATCCAACAAAATTTAAAGACATTTAATTAAATTACGGTTTTGGCAGTGATCGGCAACTCAGATGTCGGAGATGGTGATGACTAAGATGGAGGATTGGATAGAGAAATGATTCTTTTCCAAAAATAAAAAATAAAAATTGTAGTGATAGGTTTGAAATATGACTTATCAATCTTCTACGTTCGTTACATTCTCCATCAAGATCACTACATCCTCAAGAATTGGTGAGAGAGGAATGTATTCCTCTGTTGCGAGTTCAGCTTTTTCACCGGCTGAAGAAAAGGACATGAGTTTGATGGGTTTGGAAACCAGTGATAGTTTTTGGTCTACCTGCTTGATTATCAACATTTAAAGCTTGTCCAACACGTACAGGCACCAGAAAAAGTTTGAGATTTTCATCGACAGTTAACAACATTCTCGGTTGCATAGCAAGAACCAAGAAATACAAAATATAATGATACTTCTCTAAAATCATAGCATTCATGTTGAGATATGCGTGTTACAAAGTGACCAATCCAGCGAAAGCAGTCGAGGAGAACAAAAACGTTCAAAATAATATGGTGAAAGTGTTAACAAACCTTTCCCCATATGGACCCAACCTTGAGCAAGCACATAATAAAGAGAATGTTTGGCTTCTTTGTGGTAGTAACTAGCCAAATTGCGAAGCATACCAGCTATTCTAGCATTCTTCGGTCTAGCACCTATCAAACCCAAGGAAAGGATTGCAGCCATTGCAACTTCAATATCAGAATTATGACTAAGTCAGCTTAACGTGTCTATACCATTAACCTTTGGATTTGATATACAAAGGAGACCCAGAGCAAGAGAAACCGACTTCCTAACATTCTGCTCACCATACTAGAAGAGATTATCGAAAGAGCGAATCACCATTTCAAGGCCGAGTTCTTCGCCCATCGTGACCAAAGCTATTCCTAGTACAACCGGACCCTAGAAGCTATTTTCATCCTTTTCGAGATGTTGTGCACATTGACTTAGGAAACGTTGACCATAAGTACATTCCTGGTTTCAGCATAGGCGCAAGAGAGCAGAGTCATCTCACAATGCTTTCTGATTTTTTTGCTAAACGTCTTCGAGACTTTAGTTGTAGCATCTACACATTCTTACTTGCCAAGATAAAGCAGACCAAGCCCAAGAAGTAGTAGTCTTAAGAAGGGATCACTTCATTCAGCTTCAAATATGATTAATTGGGCAATATCTTCATTACAAGAACTCACAAAAACTATACCCAGTGAGACTGCAGCAAATGCAATCACATCTAGGGAAGCCTTTGGATCTTCAAGTACAGGAATCAGTTTACTCCGAACTTCATCATTCCGAGAACCAGTGTATGCAAGCACAAGGCCCATAATAGCACCGATTCTGATGGAAGAATCCGAGCTGTCAACATAATCAACCAAAAGCGCCAATGCAGGATCACGGTCATTCTTGACACCACAATTCACAATTCTAACTCCTAACAATGTCCCGGGGATTAAAGGTTTATGGTGCTGAGGAATACTTTTCGATTTGGGTGAGTCCGGAATCAGGGTCCCAAAGAAAAATCATGCCCAAACTAGCTACAACACTGGTCTTTCCATGATCCTTGTTCTTGAAGAGCCAATAAGTGGAAGTTTCCAGAGGAACTGTCATCAATTTGTCCTATCCAAATCTAGCATTCACAAATCCATTCACAAAAGTTGCTGACAAGATCTGTCGGGCTGAGTCATCAACACTTGCCCGACCATCATCATCAAGCTTGTAAATATCTTGAGGGGATTTCAGTTCCATGACCTCAATATCGCGAGCGTGCGAAAGATAAGATTCGCTTAATTTGGTATTGCTAACGATCTCCTGTTGCCCTTCCCTCGCTTCACCATCACCACACATCTCCTCATCAAGCTCAATGGTAGTCTCCCGTCGACCAATATTGTAACAAAACTACTTCTTTAACAAAAGCTCATCGCAATTTATAAAGATCTGCTTCGAATGCTGCCTGTTATTGAGATACAAAGCAATCTGAAGGACTCGACAGAAATCTTCGTATTTCATGTAGTCTTAAATACAGTATCCAAAACTAAAGTGTCATCAGGCCTTGAAAGGTATTTGGCTGAATTTGTGATATACAAACAGGTTCTTGAAGGCTCATATAAGCTCACATGTGGTTCCACCTCAAAACCAATTGGCAATGAGGGGAGTAGCACATGGGGTATATATGTTGATCAAGTTGGGTTCCCAAATCCAATGTGGGACACGTGTCTTTCACTTGTTTTTAAGTTTAAAGGGGTTTTAACACCCCTCCCCCCCCCCCCCCTCTCAAGCCCAAAGGGGTTGGACAAAACCCCGTTGAACAATTAAAGCCCAATATAAGCAAATCTGTCAAGAACAGAAATGATTCTGTTCAAAAATGGAAGTTCAATTAGGTCAACAAAGCAAAATAGAATCCTTTAGTTCAAGAATTCTCATCGCCGGAGAGAGAATCAAGAAAATGAATTCATGATTACAACTCGATTATTGACAAAATAATGTCATAGATGATTCTGGAATGCCCTGACTTCCAGTATTTATAAGTATAATTATTCAACTAATCATTGCTTAAACCTAATCCTTGCATGGTGCTCATTAATACAGCTTAAGACAGAATTGAACTAAACGACATCGTATGCAACATAAGTTTGAATGTCCACCGCCTCTGAACTTGGCGCACATGACATTCCATCCCCCTTAAAAAACAATTTGACTCTCAAGTTGTAAAGTCAGGAAACTGGCCTTTAATGAAAGAAGAATCTTCCCGTGATGGGTCTTCAACTTCAAAACCACGCCATTTAATCAGCCACTGTACCACTTCCTGTTATCCCCGCAATATGAACCTCCTTCGCAGAATCCTTTCAGGAACCAATGCACAGTCATCACTGTCTTCTAGATCAGGCAAGTCAGAAATCTGAGTTGGAGGAGCTCCAATGTACTTTTTCAACAAAGAACATGAAAAACTGTGTGTACTTTTGATCTCTCTGGCATTTCTAGCTTATGGGCCATACTTCCAACTTTTTCCAACACCTTATAAGGTCCAGAGGACCTGATCATCAACTTTAGAGAGCTTCTGTGAACCACTGGGTGCTGTCTATATGGTTTTAGTTTCAGGTACACCCATTCTCCAACTTCAAAATGCCTTTCACTTCTTGATTGATCTGCAAAGTACTTCATTCTCTATTGAACCTTAGCTAAGCTGTCCTTCAACCTCTCCCTTACCATCTGCCTTTGTTGGATCATGTCAGCAGCAGCAGGAATCACAATGTCATGATAGGCTCCAAAACGAATACCAGTTGGCTGAAAACCATATAAAGCATGATAGGGAGACATTTGTGCACAGGAATGAAATGAAGTATTATCCTCACCATTCAGCCAGCATTAATCACTTAGACCAACTGCTAGGAAAAGTGCTACAAAAACATCTCAAATAAGCCTCCACACATTGGTTTAATCTATCAGTTTGCCCATCAGTTTGGGGATGATATGCAGTACTGAAGTGTAACTGTTCTCCCAAAACTTGAAACAAGGCCTTCCAAAAGTTACTGATAATTAAATATCTTGTCTCTATCTGACACTATAGAATTAGATAAACCATGCAACTTGTACACCTCCTTAGGGACACCTCTTTTAGCAGTAATTGGATGTTTCATTGGTATGAAATGACCATACTTGATCAACCTATCCACCACCACCAGAATACAGTCATATCATTCTGTGGACATAGGCAACTTTTCAATAAATTCCATAACAATCCCTTTCCAAGCTTGTTGAGGAATTGGCGAGGGTTGCAATAACCCAGGGTAATGCACATGTTCAGGTTTACTAGCCTGACATACTGAACATTGCTTGACAAAATGCCCCACACCTTTCATCATATTCTTCCATGTAAACAGACTCTTAATCTTTTTTTAAGTGGCCTTCTATCCAGAATGACCCCCCAGAGAAGAAACATGGAAAACATTCAACAGTATTTCTCTGAAACTGCCTTGATTTCCTACATGAAGTTTACCACTGTCTTTCAAAATACCTCCCACATATTGTAGTTCTGGATGATTATCCTAGTCCAATGTAGCATTCACAATCATTGATGTGCCTCATCATTCCCCACATAACTCTCAGCAAGTTGTTTCAACCAAACTGGTTGTACTGTGCTAATAGCATTCACCTGATCATCCTCTTGCAACTCCCTTCTTGACAAAGCATTTTTTGCCTTATTTTCTTGGCCTTTCTTATAATGAATTTCATAATCCAACCCCAACAGCTTCACCATCCATTTGTGTTACAATGGAGTATTGAGATTCTGCTCCAAAAGATACTTTAAGGACCGATGATCAGTCTTAATCACAAAGTGATGTCCTCGTAAATAATGTCTCCATCTCTTCACAGCCATAACTAAGGCAAGTAATTACTTCTCATAAGTAGATAGTGCTTTGTTCTTTTCACAAAATTCTTTGCTTAAAAAAACAATAGGGTGACCGTGTTGCATCAATACTGCACCCATCCCTTCCCCACAAGCATCAGTCTACCACAACTCCTGTGAAAATCAGGTAATGCCAAAACTAAAGCTGAGGTTAAAGCTGTGTTCATGTCCTGGAATGACCTTGCATCTCTATCATCCCACTGAAATGATCCCTTCCTGAGTAAGTTGGTTAGATGTTTACTAAACCCTTTTACAAAACCTCCTATAGTAATCAGCTAAACCCAGAAATCCCCTTAACTGTTTCAGTGTTTTAGATGTTGGCCATTCCACAATGCTATTCACTTTTTATTTCTCGGGTCCATATGTACACCTTCTTTGGAAATGACATGACCTAAATCTTCCATAGCTGGCTGAGCAAAGGAGCATTTGGATCTTTTGGCATAAAACTGACGAGCCATTAACACTTGCAACACAATGGTAAGATGATTAGCATGCTCCTCCAATGTGGTGCTGAAAGCCAATATGTCATCAAAAAACTTCAGCACAAATTTTCTCAAATAAAATTTAAAAATCTGATTCATCAAGTTCTGGAAAGTTGCTGGAGAATTGGTCAATCCAAAAGGCATCACTAACAATTCAAAATGGCCATGGTGTGTTTGAAATGTAGTTTTTGGTATATCATTCCCAATGACTCTGATTTGATGGTAACCAGATCTTAGATCCATCTTAGAAAACCACTCGGCCCCTTTCAATTCATCCAACAACTCTTCAATTACTGGAATTGGATACATGTTCTTAATAGTGAGAGCATTCAAGTGTCTGTAATCTATACACATCCTCCAAGTGCCCTCCTTCTTCTTTACCAACAACATTGGTGATCCATAAGGACTATTACTCTCTCTTGCAGTTCCCTTTTTCAACAAATCCTCCACTTGAACTTCAATCTCACTTTTATGTGCATGTGGGTACTTGTATGTTTAATTTTGAATGGCACTGCATAAGGTTTAAGGCAAAGAGAAGTTGGTTCAACAAAAACTTTCTGAAATTTGGCCAACACTTCCAAAATTTCTTCAGGAACATCATCTTCTCCTATTGGCTTCACTGCCTTAGAACAATCTACATTGAATATCTCATATACGCTCATATTTTCATTTCTAGCCTCACGTCATCTCATCCTTTTTTCAGGAACTGCAAACTGATAATCCATCTTTGGCCTTTTAGGAGTTACACTTTTAATTATCCCTCAATCTCATCTTCAGTAGCCAAAGTGTCGTTGCAGCAAAAA